ATATTACAATTATAAAATGATAGGGATGGTAAGATTTTTTAAATTACAAACTTACCATTTAAAAAAAAGATAAAGAAAGGTTAACACTGACACTAAGTTAAATTCCGTAACATTTTATGTATTATTTGTATAAAAGATTTGATATCTTTAATAAGATTTGATAAGTGGTGATGAGATTTTTTAAAATTTAGTTTACTTTAATGATTATGTATCATATATATTATAAAACCTAAATGATACGTATATAAATGATCTACTACAAAATGTGTGATCAGTGTAAATTTACCTTTTTAAAAAAGGCAAAAAAAGACGCAGCATATATGTTTCTCGAAAACCTAAGTATTCAACCCAATTAATAGTTTTTCTTCAAGGATATTCTTATTGAAGGTCCTCTAATCCAATTCAAGTAATGTCAACTTTAATTCTCTATCAAAAATTATTATTCTTCGAAAAAAAGTAATGTATCAAGTAAAAAATTAAAATCCAGATGCTACAATCTTAACTAATCAAGTTAAATTCTATTAAATTAAAAAGTAAAACACAACTGTCTCTATTTATACAAACATACTTTTTTAAAAAAAAGTAAAAAAAAACGCTTTTCGTAAAGATTCATTTGGGCCGATTTCACCAACGCCAATTATTTAATTAACTGTAGAACTGACTAATCGTGTTTGTTGTTTAGTAGAATTGACCAATTATAATTGACATATGATGCTACAATCTTAACCAATCAAGTTAAATTCTAGTTAAACTCTATCAAATTAAAAAATAAAACACAAGTAGTACTGTTTTGTTTTTACTTAACTCTGATAATATGTATCATTTGTATAAAAGATTTAAGCAACAAAATTGACGCCAAGTTAAATTCCTCAAAATTTTATATATTATTCGTAGAAAAGATTTGATATCAGCAATTGGCATCAAGTTAAATTCCATGTAATTCGGATTCATTAAAGAAAAATTAAAACTATTATTAATTGGATTGGATACTTAGTATTATATACAAAGTCCCGGTTTTATCAACTCGATTAAGCCGAATGATTAACTGTCAATCATAAGTGGTCAATTTTACTAAACAGCAAACACAATTAGTTAGTTTCACGGCCAATTAAGTAATTTTGTTGGTAAAACCGGCCCAAATGCTTTACGAAAAGCACACACATTTAACGTTTTTTACCTTTTTTTTTTTTAAAAAGGTAAATTTGGATAAATAACAAGAGAGTACCATGTTTTACTTTTTAATTTGATAAAATTTAACTTGATTAGTTAAGATTGTAGCATCTGAGTTTTAATTTTTCATTTGATTAATTTTTCTCAAAGAGTAATAATTTTTGACAGAGAATTAAAGTTGCCATTACTTGGATTAAGAAGACCTTCAATAAGAATATCCTTGAAGGAAAACTATATTAATTGGGTTGAATACTTAGGTTTTATTCGAGAATCACGTATACTTAGCGCCTTTTTTTACCTTTTTTAAAAAGGTAAGTTTGTATAAGTCATTACCTAAGCTTTAAATCAAGCTACAAGAAAATTAATCAATTTCTTACAATTTAAGACTTAAAACTTAGTAGTAGCCATGATGGAAGAGATAACATAGTATGTGCAGTATCTGAAGGTGGACAGTGTCTCTTTTTAAATCTCTTCTCCGTCTATAGACTGTTCGTAAGGAGGAAGGCTTAACTGTGAAACATTAAACATGAAGCAATATTCAGATAGTCCATTTTTATTTTAAAATTGTCTTAAATAATGTCTTAATTTTGCTAATACAATTCTCAGATTGAGACATCTGATTGAGACTCACGACATCTTAAGATTGTACTTAAGAGAGTTTGACAAACCTTATGTTTCTCTTTCTATAGAAAGAGAAACCTAGATGCATTATAAAATGTATCAAACAAAAGAAAAAATTCAGTACCATTTTCACGACGCGATACAGTCAATATTTACAGTCGATTATTACATTTAAGATTGTCTTAAGTACAGTCTTAAGATATAAGTCAATCCGAGGACTGTATTAGTATCTTAAGACATTATTTTAGATGGTTTTAAAATAAGAACAGACTATGAATATGTCCCAAGTTTCGTGTTTCACAGGCCTGCTCCCTATTAACGACGCGAAGCAAAAGTAGACGTGGTTTGGCCGAACTGCACACATATATGTAATTTTTCTACTATAGTAATAGCTTATTGCAGAAAGTCCATAAGAGTTATTACACATGAAATGATATAAGCTGCATAAGCATAGCTTAAAGTCATTGGATGATAGCATAAAGGAATCATATTGATTTATATAATATATAAGATGCTGGTCCAGCGATCTTATATATGCAATGCTTATATAGCTTATATGTCATTTTATGTGTGATCGCTCTAATAAAGTATATATAAATAAAATTATGTAACTATAATATAATTCATTATATAACAATTACATAACATTGGAATTATTTATATTATTAGTCATATAACATTTCAGCATGTTATGCTGAATATAGTATAACCATTTTGTACCTTTTCTAACTAACTATGCAATAGTTATATAATGTTTATTACATTGTTATATTTATTTTATATAACTGTAATTTGCAGTGAGTAGGAAATTACAACTAACATGTATGTTACATGTAATCAACACGTTATATTACCTGTTATATTCTGTTTTATTACAACAATATAATAGTCATATAATTGCCTTTACTGAATATCTACATCATGCGATAGAAGAATGTAAAACCATAGATACGATGAATTCTTCAATAGAGTAGTGAGATCAATTGCTGATTTGTATCTAAAAGATTATATCTTAATAGATCATCGTGAAAATTCTCTACCAACTGGTCGTTCAATCGATTGCTCGTAATCTTGTTTTCACCCTTCATCTATGATGTTACATCGAATTCACATAAGATACGGATTCATTTTTTCATATGAACATTTCACTGCGTCTTTTATACCGTTTAATTGTGATTTAATTGTGATTATTTAAAATACACCTGACTTTTTTATTGCATTTTTGCTTACTGAATTTATAACATCTGATGATGGCACAATTGTGCCATCATCAGATGTTACATAACATGTTTCGATGTCGTCGATGTTTGACTCTGTCCTTCTATTTTCTTGATAAATATAAATATTATATAAATATCATAGAAATATTTCACTTTTTACTATTTTGTTGATATTTCTCTGATATATTTGAATAATATTCCTGTAATTCATTTTAGCGAACATTGTAATATTACTATGATATTGTAATATTATTATGATATGTCATCTCAATACCTTAGCAATATTTCTGCTACATTTCATTGTAATATTGCAATGGAAAATGATATTGCTGTGATATTACTATGATATTACTATGCTATGTGAATATTAGTGATGATTTAACATTAGTAAAAAGCATTTTAGAATCGTTTTCTGAATAAAACAAATGAATTGGAAGAAATTAATTCAAAATTCCATCTATAGGAAATAAAATTCTAATTTTCGAAATTAATTCTAAAATTTTTGCTTCGCAAAGAATTCCTTCTTATTTTTAAAAAATCAAAGAGCTTGAGAGAAAAAAAATCAAAGAAATGAGTGTAGAAATGATGCAAACCCTTTTTTTCAAGTAAAATCTTATTTTTCAAATAAACTTTGGAAATCAATTCCAAAATTTCTTCACAAATTACTTATTTTTAAAAAGTTAGAAGAGAGCTCAAGGAAAGAAGTGAAATGATGAATGCAAAATTTCTTTAAACAAAAAATCTTATTTGAAGAAATCTTGTTGTAACTCGTAAATACGAAGAGAAAATAAGATCATTGACTCACTTGCAACTGTTTCACCTCTATGTTGCGGATTTCCAATAGATCCCGCGTGATCGATACTACTTCCTTTAATGAGGCCACTTGATTATTCAGCGCGTTGATTTGGTTCTCTTGATTCGCTATCATGCGATTATGTTCCTCATATATCAGTGCCGGCTGTATCATTTGTTCACGCAACTGCTCTTCCGATTGTTGTAGGGCATCCTCATCATTGCCTCGATTGGCACTGTAATATGCTTGCAAAGTGGTCAACTTTGTCTTTGCATCTTCGAACTTCTTCTGGTAAATGTCGCGTTCTTTTGTTCTTTTCTATCGGTCATAAGGATTTTAGATTCTCCATCAATGTTAATATAAGATATATGAATTAATATATATATATATAT